TGTTAATTTTTAAAGTGGGATTAATAAATTCAGCCTTAAAAAAGTAATCTTCTCTATATCCTCTCCATTAACCTGGTCAGCAAGCTTCTCTCACCGCAAGACCAGCAACTGACTTCTATGAGATTGACTGAAATCTAGGTGATCAAACTGAAAAGAAACCCTGCTTTCACAATAAAATGAAGTAACAATAGCCACCAGCATTTGGGAGAGGAATTGGCTAATAAACATATTTATGGAATGTATTTGAGAATGACTTTCCAAAGTTTTGAAATAACAGGCTTGATTGCAATTTTTTCTTTTAAAAGTAAGAAGCTATTGGTTTTGAAAGTGCCTATAATTATCCAGCATCATCCTACCAACCTTATTTCAAACAAACGATTAAAGACCAAAAGGCACTGCTTATGTTCCTATGTGAGCAGTGCTGGAGTGAGGAGGTGTCCCCTACAGGTTCCATCTCTGCTGCAGGACATTGCAGGTACAAGATGTGCATCTCTCGGCGCTTTCAAAGCATGGATCAGACAGTCTTACTGCATGAGGCAGGCAGCTGTACTGCCACAATTATTTGATCATATTAGTCATAATCTCACCCCAAGCCATTTTTATTTGGTAAATACAAGATTAAGAGTGTGGGAGAACAATAGCAAATATTTATCTTGTACACAGGGCAAAACTTTGGGTACAGCTCTCTCTTTTAAGAAGGCAGATGTCCTACTGGGAAAAGACAGAGATTTTCAGCCTTCTGACTCCAAAGTTAGTCCTCATTTTCCTGTCAGTGGCTCTGCCTTCTACTACTTCTTTAGACACCCCAGACTCCTTTTAACGATTACCTTCAGAGGCAGTCCAAGCAAAAGGCTTTCCCAACCCCAAAAAAAAATTTCTCAGAATTTATAAAAATTTTCCTATTTAACCTGGTAAGAAGCTAAAACGTTGTGACACTTAAGAAAAAGCTCTCTCTGGCCTGTAGGTCTGGATCCTAACCTTGCAGGAGACAGAGCACAACACAAACTATTCTACATCATTCAGACCAGAAATGTGACTCCTAGTCTCATACATACACCGCACAGCATCTTCAGGTCTCAACGTGAACTCCTAGGCATATGTTAAGCCCAAGTTAAATTAACTCGACTGAATCCTGTTTGCTCTTCAAGACGTACATATGCAACAGCCACACACCTGCATGTGGCCCTTAACATGAGGATTACCTCTGTGGGTTATGCAGCATCAGCAGACACATGGATTTTAGTTTGCTCTGAGCAGTGCAGAAACAATTCACACAGGTGAGCCCTCTCTATGAGTTTAAAAGCAGATGCACTCAAAACAGTCACAAAATTGACTTCGGACCAAAGCCTTAAACATCAGAGAAGAACTGATTTTCAACTGTTCAAAAGAACTAATTTCCCACAGAAAAGGGGGAACCAGAGACAAAGACCATCGCTACTGCTGAGACAGGGGAAAAGATGCACTAACCCAATGATACAAAGCCAGTCTTGAATGGAGCTGAAGTACACGACAATAATCTGGCCTGCCCACATGCAGTTAGAATGCTTTTTTTTACCAGAGTGAAAAAAATGGGTATTTATATCAGAAACATTACAATACAAAGGAGAAAAATAGCTCAGCCCACTTAGAACATATCCATGAAACAAAGAACAACTTCCTTGGAACTCCTGTCAAAAGGCATGCTGCTACCTTCATGCAGATCTATCATCTGTTCATATTTGAGATTCCAACAAACCAGACATGCTCTGACCAATCTCATTTCTTGGAAACAGGTACTCCTGAGCCCAGTTGGCTGACTTGTGCAGGCATGCTGGTGTCCTATCGCCGCTACATGAAACATTCTGGCAAGCGTGCAACTATCTGCAAGCCCAAGAAGCCAAAGTGCTGTTCCCAGTACAAAGGAATGAGCTAACTATGATTTTTCTCTTTATTTTATGCAATTTTAGTGTAAACACAAGCTAGGGCAGTGTCATGACAAAGCTGACAAAAAAAGTGAGGGAGCCAATGCCATCTGACAGGCCGTAGTTCAGCTGCAAGAGATGCACTGTTTCTTCCAAAAATATTGGTGTAGTAACAGAAGGGGTTTTTTACCGCAGTGCATTATTAAAAAGGGGAAAAAATAAATGTAAAGCTACTTTCTGGAATAGCTTATGGGAAACTCTAGACAAAGGCCAATGATGATTTGCTTCTCCTAAACAGATGTCGGTGTCCACACTGCACTTCAGGAGAATGTTTGGAAAAGCAAGAAAAAATAAACCATAAACCATGAGGAAGTATAGGGAAGGAAGGCAAAAAATTTTAAAATATTTTAAACATATCAAAGAATAACTGTGATCTTGGCATTGCAAAGTTTCTCTAAAAAGGTCCAATAGTTTAGGACTCAGAAGAATCAGAGAAGTCACTTGTAGATCAGCCCACAAATATCCAATTAATAAAAGAATAGCACAGCCCCACCCCCTGGGAGCACTGCAAAGATAAATATACTAATGATTGCAAGGCTCTCCAATTCTCCACGGAGGGGTCCACTTCAGAAATAAGACAGCCAGACAGAATTAGTGACTACCAAGAGTACACCATTAACAGCACCTTTTCCAAGTAGCCTATTGATTTCCTTAAATTGTTTGGTTTGCAGCAAACCATAACAACAGACATACAAGCCACAAAGAATTCATTTTAATTTTTAACTTCAAGTCAAAAAAACGGAAAAATTCTCCAGAGCCTCATCACCAATGATGAACCATCAACCTGTGCAAAGTAACTTCCTAAGTCACCGTACAAAACATGGCACTGCAGCTAATCTGGCTCAATTCCTTTTTAAACAAACTTGGAGTCTTAAGTTTCTGTAAGTCACCAACTCATTACAGAAAATATTTTCTGGTTTCCCCAATGAGCAAGCTGTACAAGTAACAGCAGGTGCATACACCGTGACAGATGAAATAGAGGGCAGTACAGTTTAGAGACGCACAAGCTCAACTCACTGACTTCCTCTGCAACCTACCCTGCCTTGTCCCAGCCGCCCCATCCCCTTCCTGCTCAACACCATCCTCCCCTTCTGAAAACCAGAGCTAGCCCCCTGGGAAACAAAGGCTAAATTATGACACTTCCTTCAACCCCACTCTTCAATTTAGAGCTCCACAGGGCTGGATTCAGCAGGGCTGTGTGCTGTTCTGGAGAGCAAGCATCTCCTTTTTCTTCCAAGCAGTCTGGAACACCTTCATCCTGTGGAGGACAGAGCTGTACCGCACAAGTCCACCACTGAATAAAAGGGAAGAAGAAAGGGCTCCTCAAACAGAGCAATAGAGAGGAAAAGGGGATGCACGTTGAGGGGAGCTGGAGGTGCACTGCAGATCTACTACAGAAGCACAAGGCTGAGTAATAGATATCAAAGTCAGGCTTTACTTGAGCATTTATGGTTCACCAAATATATCCTGCACAATCCCCATTTCTCTATGTTACATAAGACCACCAGACACATTACACTTCTTGCTTAGCATTTATGCAAAGCAATTTTAAACCACATCACGTCTGAAATGAGAACAGGTGTCATGGACCTGCTCTGAGTGAAAAAAATTGGTCTGGCAACACACCACAACTCTCAACGACTGCACAGAGCAGCAAGGTGATGCAGGCTGGCAAAAACAAATCAAATATCTGTAATTCCATTCCTTCTCAACAACAATACATTTGCCTTTTCCTGTGTGAAGAAAGACGTTCAGTCATCTCTCCATTGCACAAACACACCTGGAGTTTGCTATAACTGAAGATATTGAGTCTCAGACAGCCTGTTCATGTTTAGAGTTTGGATTGCTGCATCTGTATTTAGCTTTTCCTTGTATCTGTCTGCTGGGAAAATCTTTAATCAAACACAAGATGTTTCAAAGGTAATCTCATACCACAAAGCCATCTGCGAACCAACCAACAATCCTGTGCAACGGCTGCCACCTAATGCTCGGGAAAGTAACTGCACTTACTGAAGGAATAGACAAGTTTCAGTAGCTCAAGCAGCAATTTCTGTTTAAAATTTTCCTCTATGCCCTCACAAACAATGCGGTCTCTTTTAACACACCAGAAAAAAAAATAATTCCATCAAGGAAATACTTCATATTTATCTAGTGCTTTACAATTTCATACTACTACAGAAAGTAATCCTTTCAGAATCATCATTTCTGCAGAAAAAGGGAGAAAAACCACGAAGGTGCTGATCATAGCGTGAAATCCCAGTCTCACAGTGAACTATCATGACAGAAGCAGGTCAGAAGCTTTCTAAAATATATTGTCAAGATAACTTAAAAGATTTTGCAGCTTAAGCTTACCATTCATAATATCATCTATTAACCTCTAACCACCATAAAGCCAAATATCCTTTTGGCTAGGAAACATCACTGCAAGTTTAATCACAGATGAAGAGGTGAGTTTGCCAGCCCCATGCTCTGTACGGACTAGAACTCTGATTATACAAGGCAGCAGTACAGAGTCTTTTCCAGCAATGCCCAGTTGGGCTTTCTGGGCATCACTAGCAGTAACAAAAGAGCTCGTATTTCCATCTACATACATTTTAATCATGCCACACCTGTAAGAAAGGCAAGATACCATGAGAGTTTATATAAATGAACTGCACATTTCCTCTGCCATACTATTTATAACTCAATGCAAAAAAAAATAAAATAAAATAAAATAAAATAAAATGCTCTCCTCTTTCTTCCACACACAGTTTGAGGCTGATTATTTTCTACTAAAAAGATCATTAGAAGGATGAGAGTGAGGAGATACCAGGTCTCGAATCCAGAAGCTCCCCTTTTTTTTTTTCAGCTAAACAGAGCTGTAGTAAATCTCTACAGTTATTTCAGCAAAGCTGATCTCACAAATATACTACAAAATAGCACTCCCATTCAACTTCTTTTGCTTTCATTAAGGCGTTTTTGTTTCTCCCACGCATTAAACAAGAAACCGAGCATAAAGAAAGCAAAGACATCACATGAACACAACCCATCACTACTTACTTCTCCTGTGATTGGATTGGTTCCATATTTCTTTATCCAAGGAACAATGCTCCTGAAAAGAGAAGGGACAAAGTAATAAGCAACAAGCACCATCAGAAACCTCCATTGATTATTTTTGCCAACTTGCTAAGACCAAATGATGATTACCAGCTGTAACCAGTTCAGCAACACAAAAATAAAGCTAAGTATAGACAGCAACTTACAGTATGTCAAAGACTGTCCCATCTGGTGTGCAAACTGGGTATTCAAATGGCTGCAGAGACAAACTAGAAAAAAAGTACACATACTTTTTAGCAAATTCAGCTGGAAATCATGATGACAGAGGCAAATAACATTTTGCTGATTCACTTGCACATTATAGCAAGGCCTATACCAATAAAAATACTGAGTGGCTGCCAATACCCACTACCTGATTTATGCAGATAAATTAGGTTAACAACAAAACCCATGGGAGGAAATAGAGCAGTTCAGCAACGTGTAGCTGCCAGCACTCACAGCCACAGAGCCACGGGATGCTGTAATATTCCCCAGCCACTTCCACTGCCATGTTGGGCCCCACCAGCATAAAAGATGGTTCAAGCAGAAACACTCGCTGTCTTTGCACTGAAACAGGCTAGGGAGTAACTGGCAACCACATTCAGCATCCCCTGCAAGCTTTTAGCCAAGCAGCAGTAGTTCGTAGATGTGGATGGTAACTTCTTGAACTACTCAATTTACAAAAGGATTTCTAACCCACCTCTACTAACTCCCCTCTTTCACTCCAGCACTTCAAGCAGTAAACTTTAAACACAAAAAATTAGCATATCCCTTCAATCTACCTAATCACTGCCTCAGAAAGATGAGTGATTGACCAAGCATATTCTGAGCACGGTAGAGTAAATTCAAGCCCTGATTAGACAGATTTGAAAGACTAGAATGTACATGATAATTGTTCTGAATTATTTTATCACTTGCATGTTCTTTTAGCCATCAGCTCCAATCTCTGCAGACACTAATAATGGAAAGTATAGATATTGTTTCAGTTTTTATTGAATTTTTTTTTGCTACATTACTATCACAGCAGGCACAAGTCAGTGAAAGTAACTACCTCAGAAGATCATAGCAGTAACATAGTTCAATGTCAACAGTCTGATAAATACATGCATTGTTTAATAATGATAATGTAAATTTGTAGTCTTACCTGCAGTGATCAAATGATAAACGTCTAAAATTAGTTCGTGGAAGGTCTGTTTATGGGAGAAAAACACAACACAATTTTAATAAATACACAATGTTCTAGGTAACAAAGCAACATTTGAAGGTTACAGTTTGCTATATGCATGATGGCAATGTACTGGTCACAAGGATAAATACACTGAACCTTGCAAAACTGTAACTAGAATCGGACTTCTCCTGCAGAGCACAAATACACTCCTCAACTGAAATTAGACAATCAGAGAAAAATCAATACAGAGCTCTGACAGACTGACAGCACTGGGTCTAAATTTGACGATTAACTGCGTTCGAGCTCTGCCCTGCCAGCGGGCGCAGAACTCGCTGAAGGCAGGAACAGCTCACCTGGGCCTTAAACCGGGCATTTCTGCCGTCTTCCCGCTGACCAGCACCGCTCCTTTCAGGCCCCCCGGCTGCACAGCCCAGCGGTTCAAGGCCAGCTCGGGAGGCGCTCGGCCGCCCCCGCTGCACCCAGAGGCCGCTCCGCTCAGGGCGGTCACTGCAGCACCCACCCC